TTTTTTTGCACAGCACCAACAACTTGACATTATTTAAAAGAAAAAAAAAATTAAAGTGAAAAATATATCCTAAAACATGAACTGATGGCCCAATTACATATTCGAAGAAAGCCAACAATTTCAGCTCACCAACCCACAAAAATTATAAATTCTAACACTGAAAAATTCTTTGGTGAAACGACCAAACACAGCTGCAGCGCCAAGGTCAAACATCATTACCCCTTCTCATAAACTCAAATTAATATAAATTAAAAAAAAAACAAATTTTTTAAGTATAATAGTATACCATAAATAAACATGTAAGGCAAATCTAACGAGTAAAACAGCTACATATTCTCAACAGTTGTGGATTTTTTCAAATTGAAATATCATATTCTAAGAAAATAAAAACATTAATAAATATGACATTTCATAATATATATATATATATGTGTGTGTGTGTGTGTGTGTGTGTTTTAATTGAAAAAAGTATGACTTGTCGATCCACCTAATGGTTAGAGTGCCTCGCACAAGATTTTGTGATTCAACCGATATGAATATTTTCAAATTACAATGTTGTCGTGCTCTACAAAACGACATAAACAAAAGTACGATATTTCTCAGCATACATATATACATGTATTTATTTTTAAGTATGACGAGTCAATACGCCTAACAGTTAGACCGCGTCACACGAGAAATTGTGATATATCAATAATAGCAGCAAATTAGTGTGTGGGGCGTGGGAAATATTTTATTTTTTTTCAAAAAGATGTTGAATGTGTCTGCAAATATTAGGTACATACCTACACTATAGTCTATGACTCTCTCTATATATATAACCTTTACTTGAAATCCATAACATGTTATTTGGTGACAAAATAACAATCAAATTACTCTCACAATCAAATCCATAACTTGTTATTTGGTGATATATAGGGAAAAAAGTGGGAATAAAAATGGAGAATTGGAAGAATTTGATGCATCTGTTTGTGATGGTGTTTTTGTCGTATTTTGCAACGTGTGTCGTAAATCCGACGATTGCTGACGTCACTCTGGCGGCCGTGTGCCCGGGAAAAGACGAGTGCTCGCTCGCCATTTATCTCACCGGTTTCCAGCAAGCGGTATGTGTTCGTCTTTCCTTATTATCTTTCCTTGTTTGTGTTGTATTTTGAAGTTAATTTGAAAACCAGAAAAAAAAAACCAAAGAAAAAAGAAAAAAAAAATCCATATTTTGATTTGGGTTGATGTAGAAATTTTTTGATAAAGTTTTGGCGCGAACCAAAATCTATATATATATACATATAATTACTAGCTAATAGCATTTAATAAAACCTATTTAATTTTACTTATGTGACAATTTAACCTTTTTTTCCTCAAAAAACAGTTACTTTTGATGTATTTAATCTTTCATTTAATTATTAAATAATCAACACTAATCACTTTAAAAATTACGAAAATTATTTTAAACTTTTGATGGACTGACAGTTGACCATATAGTGCGTTGACCGTATAATGTGATTAGATGTTATTATTGTGGTTACATTTAAATTATTATTTTTAAATAAGAACGTATTTAAAATTCTTAAATAAATAATAAATAATTCACAAAAAAAGTATTAAAATATACATAACATCCAATCAGATAAACGCAATTTAAAAAAATAAATATTTCAACTCCTTAATTGTAAATTTGGCCAACAAAAAGGTGAAAGAAAAATAATTAATCATTATATGCATACAAATAACTCACAATACTTTATTTACATCTGTGCAAATACACAGAGTCGAATACTAGTAGGGAGATGAAAAAGTCGTGGAAAAACTGTTTATAGGAATTTTTAGAATTTTTTTTTAATCGTCATAAATAAAGATGAAAAAGTAAGAAAGTATTAGTTTTTTTTAAATAATATAAGATAATTTGAGATTATAAATAAATATTTGTGAGATATATAGTATTAAATGTTATTTATTAATCATGTTGGTAAGAAAATAAAATGATGGAACGACAGTACATTTGTGTTTTATTTATTTATTTATTTCATTTATAATTCAATGCAATAGATTTTAACTACAAGATAAAAAAAATCATATGCACAATTAGCAATTTATACAAAGTCAACATTTTCTTGCTATTTTGTTTATTTAGTTATTTTAGCATGGCTTTATATAATACATGCATGCCATTTTTTTTTTTTTTTT